ACAATGAAATGAACAGACTCCAAGGGACTGTGACGACCAAGCAGCTCTACCTTGAATCCTTGCGATCACACTCTAACTCTGTCCAGGTCCGTTACCTCCAATACCTGGCTCTGCACAAAAATGTGCAGAATTGTAGTATGAGTACACCACGGTCGGTACCCAGTAAGTATCAAAACTAACCTCAGTGGAGTAGAGATGAGGTACAATTAAGATACTTATTAGTCAAATAACCTGTACAATATAACAGTATATAATAGTACTGGAAAACAACTAGCAATGATAACAACAAACTCAACCAGTGATATAATAAAACGGCAATAAGAACATCATAATTATTACTCAGGTGAATAAGGAACACAAGTACAATCAATAAGTCAAATCCTTCAAATATAAATCTTTCACATATTATTCTTTAAGATAAATATCTTTCGAATATACTTCTTTTGGATAATTATCTTTCAAATATAATTATTTCCAATAAATATATTTTCAAGCAAAAGTCACCATGTGACACCTCATTTCACAATCATAAAAATTACGGGTCTCAGCCCACTTTTATATTTTTCACGGCACCTCGTGCCCATATTTCTATCACCATCACACCGACAACTCACGTGTCAATAATAAAATCACCATAATTTTCCCCGGCATCTCGTACCCATATTATTTTCATAACTACACGGACAACTCACGTACCAAAATATCAATGTATATAAGATCCGCATGATCAATTTATTTTCAATAAAGTAAGGTTAAAAATCTTTAAATCAAGTAAGAAATCAACAAAAAGATAAGTTTATTTTAGAAATCGTTTGAGTGAGGAAAAATGACATTTCCATTAAAATAAAGCATCAGCTAAACTACTAATTTGGATATAGAATTTATTAAATTAAACATACTACAAAACTTTCTTTTATTTAAAACAACTTAATCATCAAAAACAAGTACAACCCAAAAATACAAATCCTCAAAGTCTCATACGAAAAAGTCAAGGTCAGCACAATACATCAAGAAATACAAAACACTTAATATTAAGTCAAATAATACATCACGAAAAATACAAGAATTTACATATTACGGAAAAATAAAATAACCAAAGGCAAGTGCATCCATAGAAAAATATCAACAAAAGGGCACTCCCGAAGTACCGCCTCGTAGTCCCAAAAGTAAATATGCAAGACATGAGGAATCTCCCAAGGTACCGCCTCGTAGTCCCAAAAGTAAATATGCAAGATAGGGAAAATCTCTCGAGGTACCGCCTCGTAGTCCCAAAAGTAAATATGCAAGATAGGGAGATCTTCCGGAATACCGTTCCGTAGTCCCAAAGTAAATGTGCAAGACAGGAGAAATCTCCCGAGGTACCGCCTCGTAGTCCCAAAAGTAAATATCCAAGACGAGGGATCTCCCGAAATACCGTTCCGTAGTCCCAAATTAAATATACAGGACATGGGGATCTCCCGGAATACCGTTCCATAGTCCCAAAGTAAATATTATTTTAACAATTGCATATCAAGTGCTCACATATCACAAATGGCTCATCAAGTGCTCAAATATTACAACATATCACAAATTGCACATCGAGTGCTCAAATATTTCAACTTGCTACAGAAATCAACAACACATTATTTTCCACAATAAGAAGCTCATGGCTCGACCATAATGTGCACAAAATCTTAACAAAATATATTTCACATAAATTCAAGGTGGCAATCACACCAAATCATCATATAAAAATAATTTCAACAAACAAGGATCTAGGCATGACAAATAGAGGATTTAATAAGTACCAAAAATTTTCAATTTAATACATAATGGCATCTAAAGATTTTTAATCAATAAAATTCGCACATATAAACCAAGTACGTACTCGTTACCTCGCGTACATGATTTTCAATTACACAATTTGCACATAAGACTCAATGCCAAAGGGGAAATTCCCCCACTCGAGGTTAAGCAAGACACTTACCTTTTTGAAGTTAGGCCGATATTCCAAAATCGTCTTCTTGCTTGAATTGACCTCCGAACGGCTCCAATATTTCTTAAGCCTTCCTTATATTACTACGAGGTTCCGAAAATTCTAGCAACTAATCTATTTAGAAGCATAACAAAAGTGAACCATAATTAGGAAGATTTTCAGGGTTTCAGCTCATTTGAGCATTTTATCAAACACTAGGTGTGCAAATTTGGTTACAAGGTTCTTCTATAAAATTTTCTTCATTCTACAACCCAATCTTTACTTATTTGATCTCAATAATCTTCCTACAAATCTTATTGGTACAAGCATATATACATAATACTCTTACACCCAAGAATCATACTCCCAATCACCAATCTTTTATCTCAAACTCGAAACTGAAGACTAGGGGTTAAATCTTACTTCTTAGATGAAGATCTTGTGATTAGCTTCCTTGATTCTTGAAGATTGGATGATTAGAATGTTAGGTTCCCTCCTTTTCTCTCTAAAATGCTCTTACCTCTCTCTAAAACCCTCAGAAAAACACCCCAAAATAAGCCCCAAAGCCTATTTATCAAAATAGGGTCGGGTTATAAAAATAGAAAAATTAACCCTTCAAAAGCAGGTCTGCGGTCGCATAATGGACCGCAGAATGGGTATGCGGGCCGTAAAATTGATCGCAAAATCGGTGCCCAGAACTGGGCTCTTCTGGTCCATTCTGCGACCAGTTTGTGATCGCAGAAGCAGTTTTGCGATCGCATAATTGGTCGCAGAAAAATATTTTTCCAGCCTTTGGTAATTTGGTCATAACTTCTTGTAGGAGTGTCCAAATGATAAACGGTTTGAAGGTTTGGAAACTAGACACATAGACCTTTCTTTTGATAGGTAACACACTATATAAATCTTTATATCAAGAGAGGTATGCTCGTTTGAAGTTAGGTCTTGTGCGAACTCACTTGAAACTTTAGTCTATTATGAAATTTCCAACTTCAACATTCGATGCCGAAACCTATCGAATCAAGTCCGATTGACCTCAAATTTTGCACACAAGTCATAAATGACATAACAGACCTATTCCAATTTCCAGAATCGGATTCCGGCCTCGTTATCAAAAATTCAACCTTCGATTGAACTTTTCGAAAATCGTCTATTTTCCAACTTTCGCCAAAATGCGTCGAATTGTCCTACGGACTTCCAAATCCAAATCCGAACACGCGCCTAAGTCCAAAATCACCATACGAAACTATTAACACCATCAAAATTCTATTCGGAGGTCGTTTGCTCAAAAGTCAACTCTTTGGTCAACTCTTTCTATTTAAGATTCAAAATGAGAATTTCTCTTTCAATTAAATTCTAAATCTTCCGAAAATAAAACTTGACCACACCCGCGGGTCATAATACATATTATGAAGTTGTCCGGGACCTTAAGTCATTGAACGAGGCGTAAATTCTTAAAACGACAAGTCATGTCGTTACATTTATGTATCCTAAGATTTTTTTTAACTTGAATAAGAATTTAACTCATATGATGAATTAAAAATAATTGAATTGGATTCTCTTGCTAAATAATTAATTAAAAGATTTAATTATTTTATTTTAACATAGAAAATAATTTATTCTATGTTGATTTAGATCTTAATATTAGTTCATCTCTTGTTTTGAATATTTAATCTTAATTATAATTTTATCCACTATAAATTTTATTTTCAAAGAGTAAAAAATTGATATGACATTTCACTTTTAGATCTTTATGTTTGAAGAATCATTATTGGTATTGACTCTTACCAACCATTGTTTTTCTCTTTCTCACACATTTATATTCTTAAACATTTTCTTAGTTGTTGTTTAATAATTGATTATTTTTCAATATTACACGAAAAATTGATTAAAAAATATTATTTGAGTAGGAAAATAGTTCAAATATAATTATAAAAATATATTATTATGGGGGTATTTTTTTCTCAATTTTAACTCTTTATGCAGTCGATTTAATATTATTTTTTTGGTATTGGATATTATGGAGTGGTAATGTATTGCCAATACGGAGGATTCTTATGAAATTGATTTTATTAAACCTTCCTACATATTTTTAATAAGAATTTAATAGACAAAATTTTATTAATTTTAAAATCTTAAATATTAAAAATTAGCAAAGAAGGTATTGTAGTCAAAAATATGTTATTGCAGTTATGTTCTTTCCCTATGAGTTCTTCCGCTTGATATTTTAGGGCTATTTTGGTATATTAATATTGTATTTATGCTTTTATAATAAAATAGACTCTCTTTTTTCTAATAGATTTGGACAATATAATACATTCTCAAATTAAATTAGTAATAGAATATTATAATACATTCTCGAATTAAATTAGTAATAGAAATTTTTAAGAAGTATTTCCTAAAAGTAATGTGATTACATGACTAAAGATATTTACTTGTTCAATTTTATATGAATTAGACCGCCCGAAAGTAATTATACTAATATGATTCCTAAAGGTAATCATATAGGATTCCTAATGTGTAGTATTATGTCCTAAAACTAATAGGATTATAAGACTAATATCTAGAATTTCAGTTATATCCTTTTATTATAAGTTATCATGCTTAATATTATAAGGTTATTTTTGTAAACCGACATTATATTCATGCTTTTATAATAATATAGATGTATAGATAGATAGATATAGATATAGATATAGATTAAATACAAACTTTTAATTAGAAGACACGTGTCTATTTGATTTTGATACAAACAGCAATAATATAGGAATTTAAATGATAGACACAATCTAAAATTATTTAACCTCTTATAACAGATTATTTATTTTATTTTTAAGTTATTAATTTTAACTATTATGAACAGTCATCCATATCAATTTTGCAAGTAAATCTTAGAGCACATCCTCTCCGTTGTCACCCCACGTGTAATAATCTGTTGAAAAGAATTGTGCCAATTCATTACTTTAGCTGTCCAAAGTGATTCACCGGACTTGTACATTTCGGACAATATTAACCTCATCAATCTCTTTAATCTCGTAGTACAACATTTCGTAATAATAGTCAAAATCCTAAAAAGTACGATCACGGAGCGTCGTCGTACACATCTTTAATACACGCTCTCTGCTCCTTTCTCGCCGGCCGTTTTAGACTCAACAATTTTCTGAAAAAGGAAAGACTTTATTAAAACAAATTCTTAAAAAATTTCCTTTTTTTACTTTACTTTGGTGTCTAATTTCGGATCTCCGGCGATGGGTCCGGTAGAGACGGCAGTGGATCCGTCGACAGCGGCGGCGGTGGTGGTGGCGTACCGCTTGCATGAGGCAATATATTGGTGGGAGGAGGTGAACGAATCCACTGTTTGGCAAGACCGTACTTTCCATGTCCTCGCGATCTTATACGGCGTCGTTTCAATCGTTGCTCTTGTAATTATCACTTCCTATTTATTAATTAGTTTGCAATTTTGGTAGTAATTGTTTATTAATTAGTTCCAAAACTCCTTTAAGAATTTTGATGTCTTACACTAAAGGATGTAAAGATTTTCTTACACCATCATTGTAATTTAACCTTTTATGACAGTTTATTTACCATTAGTTGTTGGTTATCAATCAATGTTATCAACTAGAGTTATCGGCAAGTACCTTCTAAGTGATCTGGTTGTTTATTGTCGGTGCATGGAACTTAAACTCTTTTTTGAGGGTTATGGTAGTTGGTAGAACCTTAAATAGAGGATTCCACGCTTTACATGGCAATTGAATCATTAGTCGAGATCATAGAAAAGCATGCCGCAAGTAGGAAGTGGAATTAATACGATGAATTTAAAAGCATCACACCGGAGATACATCGAAATGTAACAGCCATACTTAATGGAGTGTCGGGTTTGAGATAAGGAGCTTTTCAATCATTTAATTACACTTCAAATTGGATAGCAACTTGAATCTTTTGTATCCTTTAGAAGATTTATCATAGTTAGACTATTTTCACTCTAGTTGTCGATCTATTGCTACCCTCATCCTTTATTTATTTGTACTTATAACTGGTTATGCTTTGGAAGCTCACATGGGTGAGGGTAAGATGGGACCTTAATACCTGAAAAAACCTTCTAGAGGTGAACTGGGTCATTCGTAAATGAATATTAGGCTTCATTGATATTTTTAATTTACCATGAGAGCTATCCGCTCTTCCTAATATTCTGTAAATTGGCTTTATGTATTCTATAAAAAGGGCAACTTCTTATACTAAGCATGCAAATGCTTTCCAGTTTTAAATTGGAAGCTGCTACAAGTTGGTTTTATCATTTATGTGTGTCCTTAGTTGATTTTGAATGATGATTTGAATTCCCATATATCCAAAAAAAATTCTTCTTGCTTATTAAGTAATCATATAGTTAATATGTGTTCTAAAGTAGATAGAGTCCCCGAGATTATTGCTTTAATGCATCTGTGACTCTGGTTGTTTATAACTTTGTCAATTTGCAGGTGCAATTAATTCGGATTCAAATGAGAGTTCCCGAGTATGGATGGACCACTCAGAAAGTTTTCCACTTTCTCAATTTCTTGGTGAATGGAGGTTGGTATCATCTTTCATAATTATTTATGTTGGAAACATGCTGATCGATAATATTACAAGCTGTTTTTCAAATGATCTGTTCGGTACTCCGGTTATACTATTTGGGAAAAAAAAGATTTTTCCGGCACATTTCACTTTGTTAGTTTGCTTTGACCTGTTGGGTTTAGTAATGAAGTCGTGTTTTTGTCCTTTGGTAGTTCGCTCGCTTGTTTTTGCATTTCGCCGGGATGTTCAGAAGTTGAACCCTGAGGTTAGGCACTGACATAGATTAGACGTCTGGTTGCCATTTTTATCTTTGTTTCCTTTCAGTTTGTAATTATGTAGGTTATGTTTGTGTAGATTATCCAGCACATCTTGCTTGATATGCCAAGTCTTGCATTCTTCACAACTTTTGCCCTGCTAGTATTATTCTGGGCTGAGATATACTATCAGGTTTGCCTGTGTTCTCTCAACTCAATGTTTTGCAGATTGTGTCACTTTTCAAGGTTAATATATGTCTTTCCTGTTGCAGGCACGTGCTGTATCTACTGATGCTCTTAGGCCTAGTTTCTTCACAATTAATGGAGTGGTGTATGCTATTCAGGTAGATATTTAGTCCTTACACTACACGTGCTCAGCAAAACATTGGTGCTTGAGCATTGAGTTAAATTAACTCCTAACATATTGCAAAACTTTAAACCTAGAAATTATTCTCCCAAGTGGACTTATGACTTGACTAGTCTTAGGCCATCTTCAACCCTCCCCCATTTCTCCATAATGGGGGCAACTTTTGCCATAATGGAGCTCCAACCCTCCCCCATTTTTGCCTCCAAAATGGGGGATGAATAGTGTTCCTCCAAATATGGGGGACACTATTCATCTCCCCCATTACTATTCATGCATATTTTATTATTATTTTTATTATTTAACTCTTTTAATTTATCTCTTTATATATACCTAATTATGTTTATGTAATATCTTTATAATATTAATTTTACATCTTTAACTTTGGCGTATAATTTTGATAAATTAATTTTCGTGCATTTATTATTTTTATGTAAAATTGTAAGTTAATTTTATTATAAGTTATAATATTTAATATGAATTTTACCATTATGTAATATGTATCTCAATGATTTCACTTTTATTTGAATTATCTTTTAATATATATAATGTATAATATTTGCTTACAAATTATATTATTTAAAAATTTATGGTGTAAAATAATTTTATATTAAATTATATGTGAAGAATATGTAAAAAAGAAAAAAAGATAGATTTTCTTTAATAGAAATAAGAAAATAAAATTTATATAAAGATAATAATATAATATTGAAGAGAGAAGAATATAAAATGGAATATTCTTTTTTGGAGTAAAAAATGGAGTAATGGTTGGAGTAACTTTCCTGCATTTTGGAGGAGAAAATGGAGGTAAGGGTTGGAGATGGCCTTACAAACAAGGACCGCGTTTCATTTTTTTTTATAAGCGAGAAATATCCGAGGGAATGACACACGGTTTGTAGCCTTTCCACTTCAATACCAAGCTCTTGTTTGCAGGGGCAAAGCTACGTCCTCCAAGGGTGGTCAACTGACCACCCTTCGCTGGAAAATTATACTCCGTATAAGGTAAAATATTACTTGTTATTGATTAAAAATAGAGTTTGAACACCCTTACATAGCTCACTGGCAAAGGTTTGAACACCCTTGTTGAATTTTCTGGCTTCGCCACTGCTTGTCTGCTGTAGAGTTCGAACCACGGATATGCCTAACCCACACATCATGTGCTGCTCTCTTACCACTAGCCGTAGGGTCACAATGACTGTCTTTCATGTTATCAATATTTTTAAAAATTAATAGAGGTTTTTCTTTTGAATTCTTAGTTGCATTTGTTTGTTTTACTTTAAATTGTTACTCCTACTTAATTTGCGTTATCTGCTGATAGACCTAGTAGTTGCATCCATGCAAGTTGTACACTGACATTGGAATTTATTTGTTTTATATTTGCTGACTGAATTCCGTCCATCTAAACACGTCTCATGCAGTAATAAGACCTGCCTTCATCTTGCCTTCAACCACTTTCTTGTCCAGTACAAGCTCAAAAAGTGTATTCATGCTGTATCTCAACTCCAAATCACTCTCTCAAGGCAAAAAGCCTACTTGAACTTTTTGGCTGGACAAAACTGTCCCCTGTAATTAGTACTAGTCATTTTTTGGACGTCGTTAGTACTATTGTCCTAGATTGACACTTTGTATAGGGCCTAGCTTCTCTCTTTTGTTTTTGCCTTTTGTAACTAGGCCTCCTGTAACTATGCAACTATGCATCTTCTTGATGCTTTTTTTTTAATGAAACACCTTACTTCATAAAAAAAAAAAGTGTATTCATGTTGCTTTTGGGGGTAGGGCACACATGATCGACACTTTCCACCACCCGCCAAACCCCAAATGCACCCATCCCAAAGTAAAAAGGAAAGAAGCGTCAGTAATTATACAAATTCGTCACATCAGAGGGAAGAAAAGAAACACAGCACCAGTAATTTTGACAAACATGTTCTTCAGGTCTTAGTGTACTGGTTCCAAATGAAAGTACATGAATAGGACTGGATTTCTAAGTTTGAAGATGCTTTATCAAGAAGGGATACTGCGTCTGGTGATTTACTAAGTGCCAGAGTTGGACATTAGACAAGCTTGTGTCTTGTGATAGAGTTTTTACATGAAACAGTATCTGAGAAATTGAATTTCTTTCATAGCTAGAGATGCTTTGTGGATGTTTGTTGCTTGATTTATCCTTTTTCTTATTAAATTTCCAGATTATATTATGGCTGATAATATGGTGGAAACCTATTCCAGCTCTCGTCATCTTATCTAAGGTGTTCTTTGCAGGTCTGCATTTTGGGTTTTACCTTATTTAATAGTTTTTCTATTGCATAGATATATTGCGTCTGCACTGACACATTTTCTTTTGTACTGGCACGCATTATTTTGCAGGTGTATCTCTATTTGCAGCCTTGGGGTTTCTTCTTTATGGAGGAAGGTAAGATCTAATTTCTCGTACCAGTGATTTAATCTAACCTCTGAAGGAGTGCATTGGTGGGACCACACATCTAGAAGCATAAGTGCTAGCAGACGATCATATGCCATGCATTTATTTCTGTCCTTTGTGAGACAATGGCGCTATGTTTATCAAAAGAATATCTGATTAACGGCTACACAGATCCTTTACCACTTTCACTTTCTAAGAACCTCTGTTGTTATGCTATGTAATTGTTGTTTACTTGCTCAAAGTTGTCTTTTGGATAAGTTATGATCTGCTTACCCAGCTTGCAAATTCATAGATTTTAAACCAGCCTGAGATTAATCCGAGCTAAGCCTTAAGGATCGCCTTTTTCTGAACTTAATGTAATTTATATAATAAGCTGCTTCTCAGGTAGTAGATGTCATTCATTCTCTGATTGCAGCAATGCATACAGTCGTTCTCATTCATACATAGTAGTCCATATTGCTATGTCATACACCATGGTGCTTCCCTGCTGTTGCCAAACATTTGAATAATTTCATAAGGATGAGCTAGTGAGAGATAGGCAAGATTAAGAGTTGATGTGAAAGGAGAATAACACCCAGTTAGGTCAGCGTATGGTGGATTTAGAGTTGGATTTATGGTAGACATCCATCTATCTCTTACAATTGTGTTATCGTCATGGGCGTCATGATCTTCACGTAGGTTAGATTCAATAATTTTTTTTAAAAATGTTTCTAATAGTGAGAGCAAGTGTTCACTGGGTCTGTAACATATGGGGATATCTTAGAACCAAAGCCCAAATCTGGCTAGTGAAAAATATTATCATTCATTCACAGCTGCAACACTCATAAAACATGTAAAGTTGGTTTTTTTCTTCTATTGGACTCTGAGATGAGGTCTATCGGAAACATCCTCTCTACCTTCAAGGTAGGGATAAGGTCTGCGTACACACTACCCTCCTCAGACCCCACTTGTGGGACTATATTGGGTTTGTTGTTGTTCTTGTTGTTGGACTCTGAGATGAATCTACATGAACATGTAACCCAACTGCCTAAGTAGACTGGGTACATAGAGTGCCACGTACACCTTTTGTGGCATCTACTCGGATTAGGCACATGGTAATATTGTATCCCACTTGTTCAGACTTGCTCCCTAAATTCTTTTTATTTTATTTTAAATAAAGAACTTGCTCCCATAATTCCTTTGTATACTTTCATGACCATTTGTCTTTTCTCTTTTTGGTTTTTATGTCTTAGCTTATTGGTCTGTTAAATGGTCTAAAGTTTTTTCTTCTATTATTCTTTGCTAGTTTTGTGCAAATAGATACTCCTGCAATTTAATGTTGAAATATGCAGTTGAAAATTTGATTAGTAACTTACATGATAAGATATTGATATTAGTTCACTCCTTGAAGGCTTACCTAAAGTGGATTGTATATGTTCGTTTAATTTGTCCCTTCACCTTTTGGTACATGCACATTTTAATATAATTTGTATGTGAAAAGTAGGTTAAGATGGGTAGTCATGGTTTCATTACCTATTTGATGTTCACAGTTTTTCTTCACCTTATATCATTTCCTTCCAGGCTTTTCCTTATGTTACGGCGTTTCCCTGTAGAATCAAAAGGGAGACAGAAGAAGCTACAGGAGGTATGTTACTGTCGTACTGTGTGTCTTTCATTATTAGTTGTCCTTTCTTCTAGTTTTTGTCATTTAACTGCTTCTATATCTTGACATATATAGGTCGGCTATGTGACAACAATATGCTTTACATGCTTCCTCATTAGATGCATTATGGTAAGTACATATTCCTGCCGAATAAGATATTCTCAGCTAAATTAGGACGGCGCCACAAAAAGCCTTGCAAGCAGTCAATCCATTTTTGTGATGTGTGATTGACCTCTGTGTATTCTCTTTAGATGGTATTTTTATATTCTGAATATTGTTGTTGTAGTAAATTAGTCTTAGCTTATACTTCCAGGATTTCAACTGAAGTTGTTTAAGAAGGGCGTGAAACCAACTTGACCCATGTTAACTCTTGTTTCTCTTATCATGTGCGTCACAGCTGTGTTTCAATGCATTTGATAAAGCTGCGGATCTTGATGTCCTGGACCATCCAATTTTGAATTTTGTGTACTACCTGGTAAGTTCCTACAGCACTAAACCTTTAGTTGTTCGTACTTTCAGCGTGCATATTGCTCTTTTAAGTGCCAGTGAAGAAGATTAAATATTGGCGGCTGGTAAGCTGCGTAAAGCTATGTTGCTCGGACTCTCCGAAAATGTTGCTGGATGCGTGTCGGATCCTGCAAAAGTAGTGTATTTTTGGAGGATCCGACACGGGTGCGGAAGCACTTTGGAGGTCTGTGCAATCTTGGCGAAGCACAGTTTCCAAATCATGACTTAATTGGAAAACCGATATGATTCACCAGCTTGTGGCATTCAACACCTCTTTTCATGTGTCAAACTTCGTCCCCTGTTCCTTGGTTAGGGTTGAGAGTTTCTTGTTTATGCGATAATATCTAGGTTTTTTTGTCGATGTTTTCTTGAATTGAAAACTGGCTCCAATTTACGGCATTTTGGTGAAACAATAAATTTAGGAAGTTTGAGTATGTGTACTGAAATTAAAGCTTGATTTATTTCTATTTATTTATGTGTCTTTGTCCTAGCATAAGTAAAAGTTGATGTAAATTTAAACCCGTGAGTATTCTAAATTTGGGCTTTCGGCCTTTGTTTACAATATTAAGTGCACAGAAAGAAGACAAAAGGGATTATTGTGTATATGTTTTGAGGATGACCAGAATTCTGTCAACTCTTTGCAGTTGGTGGAGATACTACCTTCTTCGATTGTCCTTTTCATTTTGAGGAAGTTGCCTCCGAAGCGAGGGATCACACAGTACCACCCTATTTGCTGATACAATAGTGTGTATTCAATGATGGGTATGAAGCTTCGGGATGGAAATCAAGCTCTGGGAAGTAGGATCAGATGCCAGACGAGTTGGCTTTTATGATACTTGTCTTACCTGGAAGTGATGGAAGCAAGGACCATTTGCGAGATTATCTTGTACATGGAGTATGGTTCATCAGGGACTCTGAAAATATAGTTTGTTCTTTGCAGATTTTTAGTTATGTTTCTAATTTATAGTCTTGAAGCAAGAGTTGTGGAACATGCTGTGATTTCTAGTGTAATTATCCTCATCTTTGTCTTTGAGATTTCAGTTTATTATTCTTTTTCCCCTATATTTCAAGTTTGTTTCGTGGCGTACTTGTTTGTTACACAGCAAACTATTAGGATGCATTGATGTTGCAAGGTAGAGGATGATGATTCATAGATACATAAAACAAGGTGGATGTTTATGGATTGTACCTGGAACATTACGCGAGAGAACTACTGGAGAACTTTATCTGCTTCATGCTAACACTTATGGATTCTCAATTGTGAGGATGATTGTCTTCTCCAGGGAGATGAATTGCTAGTCATGCTGCAAGGTTGGAACCGGTAGGCATATCTCTCTTTTCATGAAGAGGACCGGTTGGTACACCTGCAGTTCAGCATTTGTAACCACCTTTTCTCCTTGACTTCTCTGAGTGTTAGGAATTCACTCTATAATGTTGCCTCACTTAAACGGATGGATGTCTTCAAGCATCAGTTGAACAGGTTCGAATCGGTTGGGTTCAGATGAAAATGGCTAGAAGTATGAAGTAACACTCAAGACCTACTCTACTATTATTGAAACTATAATAGTTCTGGCACTAATCTTCCGCAGAAAGTCACCAAAGTATGTACTCTCCTCCTCTCCTTTATTTTGGGGTGATATTTGTGTCAAATATCAAGCTCATATGCATGAATTACAACGTATAGATTTGTAATACTTGGATTAATAATATAAGGATTGTAATGTAAACTAAATATCCTGATATAACAATATGTCAACAACTAGGAATTAATAAACTAACAACATATCTTAACAACAAGGAACTTGTCAAGACAAGTGAGGCTTGCTCAGTTGGTAAAAGCACCTCCACCCACGACCGTTAGGTCCTAGGTTCGAGTCACGCTGGAGGGAAAGTGTGGAAACACTATAGATACTCCTAAATTGGGAGGGATTTAAAAAAAAAAGGAACTTGTTAAGACCCAAAATCTCACATCAAACTACGCCTAATTATCATGGAAATTAGTGAGGCCCTTATTCCTTGCTAATTTTGTATTAGCGAGAGATAAACTTCATTTAGCCCCACAGTAAATCACAGGTCAACTATAGACCGAAATAGATGGTAATAATTCATACAGCCGACCCACTTAGCCTCAGGGCCGGAGGGAGAGTATTGTTGACGGGTTCGGATGATCCCGGTAACTTTTACTTACACCATGAATTTGTATTAGAATATTTATTAAATTATGTATAATTGTTTAATTGCGAACCCAGTAACAAAACGAGCTATATAACCCATAAACTTCAAATCCTAACTCCATCTCTGCTTAGCCTAGATTCAGGCTTAATTGTAAGTAATAGTTTTTTTATTTTTTTTGTTATAGCTATAAGAGGGGTTTTATTTTGGATAAAAGGTTGATAATTGAAAATCTGCTTCTTATACCATTACAACATCAGGAAAAGATAAAACTTACGCTTCTTCACACCTCTAATTATTTAATGGACAAAGCATTGGCACAATAATTAAACAATTAGAACAATTAGACATTCAAACAATGACTATTTCTTACGATCAGCTCTGAAAGCTAGTATTGTCTGCATTGCTGTGAGTATGAGGAGTACGGCGGCTGCCACAGTTGAAGCTCCAGCCCAAGGACTACTAAAATAATTGTGCCTCAAATTTGCCTTCATTCGGTTCCATGGTTTTTCACAATGTTGAATTAATTTTCTGTATTCTTCTTTGTAGTAGAAGTCCTCACATGAAACGGCGACCCCTTTCCCCATTTTGTTGAAGATGCTGGCCACTTCTTTGTCCTCTCCTATCCTGTTTCTGATGATTCCTTTCAGGCGAAGCAAACTCACATCTTTTTCTGATTCAATAAGATAATCCATGAAAGTAACATAATCACTGAAACATGTAGGATATACATCAGGCCAATGCTGTTCAAAAGCTATGAGATTTCGCAGGAGAGTCTCCGTAAGATCAACGACTTCAAATGAAGGAATTTTCATTAACCCTTTCTCAAATTTTATATCAAAGAGTGATACTGTCCTATTTCCAAGGGTGTTATTTGTGTCCGATGACCTATAAACATTTTGAACTTTTGAAAATGTAACTCCAGCTTCACAAAGCTCTGTTGCATTTGGCATGCTGCCATGCAACGTTATGTGCTTTGTATCTCCTTGCGTTTCTTTCGGCCTAAATAGTTGTAAAGGATTCCAGCATAAGCTTTTCCTGGAATGTTCTGATTCTGATTCTGATTCTGTCGTGCTAGTTGTCGTCTTTGAAGGTTGACAGGCCTTGAGTAATACATGTCGTATATGTTTGGGTTCCATATTGTCTGCATTACCTGTAGTAACCTCACTCAAGGGTGCAGGGCACATATTCGACAAGTTAGATAAAAAAGTCTTCTCCACTTGTTTTGTGAATGACATTTCACCTTGATGCGTAGTCATATCATGAAGCTTAGTGAGGACAGAGAAAGGAAGTTGGTTCTCTAGCAGCAACAGGTCACGATTTACAAGAGATACCATCCAATCTGTGTTTATAATTCGGCCTTCTCTTGGCTCATCTGCCGAACAATCCTCTCGAATATACTCAACCACGAAACAGCCATCAACCAACAGCATTTCCACGAATTTCCCTGTGCTATCATCAGTATCAAAGTCCTTATAATCTATATCTTCATAACACTTTAGTGCTTCATCCTTCAGTTCCTCCAATTTTCTGATGCAACTTTCCATATCAAGCCCCTCTTTCCTCTGGAGAAACTGTTGTAGGTACAACATTTTGTATTTTTCCATCGAACCAAGTTCAGGATTTTTGTTATGGTAAGGACCAATGGGGATCAACTTTGGTGTATAAGCATCTGGATTTGATTCACGTAACGCCACATTTACTTTGAATATGGTACATGATTTGGTTGACCAACTGTTCAAATCCTTAAATCTTTCATCAAAGATTTGTTTTCTGGATTTACTGGTTTGCAACCTGGATTGATCTTCACTATTTGTTTCCTTTATCTCCATTACATGATCCACTTTCCTCCCTTCTTCCATCTGTAATTAGTGGAAAAAGAGTCAGTTCTTGAACTCCTTTTTTTCTCTCTCATGAAAAACCTAAACACCTTCCACCTTGTTGCTTTTTGTACAAAAAACAAAAACAAAAAGTATAAATGAAAAGGTATTACATGTGAGCGCACACTTTGACGAAGCAGTGGAGTTCTGTCATCTGCTGTGATCATCTCAATAGAATGTGCCATCCCTTATAATTAACCTTCTTGATCTATATATAAATCCGAATTAAAAGACAAATGTCAGGTTAAAATGGTTTGGTATCAAGCTCTTCTCTTCAATTCATAGATGGATGCTATTATTAATCCAGATATATTAATACAGAATTTGATTTGAAAAGAAAAGAAAAAGAAAAATCAACTCTATAGTCTTGTCATAACTTGTTAGAATCTTTAATTCTTAGGATGCCCTATTGGAAGGGAAAAGAAAATTCCTGAGAATGTATCTATGTTTCAATGCTTTAAAAGAAGGTTGGAAGGGTGACTTGAGACCACTAATTGGCTTAGATGAAACTTTCTTGAAAGGAAAATGTAAGGGTATGCTCTTGGTAGCCATTGAACAAGGTTCAATGAATCATTTTTATCTACTAGCCTGGACTGTAGTGGATAAAGAAACTGGCAGGACATGGTCATGGTTTTTGGAGCTTCTGAAGAGGTCATTGGAATTAAAAAATGGTGCTGGAGTTACTTTTATATCTGACATGCAAAAGGTAAATTTTTGTCTTTTTTTTTTTTTAAATTTTCGACTTGTTGTTTTCTGGTTTTTAAACTTTTGGCTTTTGTTTTTCTATTTTTTTGGTTTTTGACAGGGATTGCTGGAATCTGTGAGTGTGGTATTGCCCGAAGCACATCGCGGATATTGTATGAGGCACATTGAGGCCAATTGGTATAAAAATGGAGTGGTGAAATGAAAAAGTTGATGTGGTGGTGTGCCTGGAGCAGTTATCAGGAAGATTTTTATGACCAATTGAGGAAATTGGGAAGCTAATCTGAAGATGCAGCTAGAGATTTGGTGCAATTTTTGATACTCAATGTAAGAACATGATGGTGGATAACAATTTCACCGAGTCATTCAACTCTTGGATATTGGAGGCTAGAAGCAAGCCCATCATCAAAATGCTTGAAGACATAAGGATTAAGGTAATGGAGATGTTAGTAAAAAATGAGGATAAAATGAGGAGCTGGGGTAGTAATTACTAATTATAGTCCAACATGTATGAAGTCGTACAATGATTATAGGATTATTGCTCAATCTTGCAAGGTGGTATTTAGTGGGGATAATGGATATGAAGTAACAGGGGGAGGATAGACATACGGTCAACTTGGCCCAAATAAAGGTGTACATGTAAGGTATGGGATTTATCTGGAATCCCATGCTCCCATACAATCCAAGCTGTGAAGAGAGAGGAACCCATGGATAAAATTAATTGGTGGTATAGTAGGGAGGCCTATATGTTGACGTATAAGAGTAAATTGCAACCTGTTAGGGGACATCAGTTCTGGAAAATTGATCCCTCACAAGCGATGGAACCACCTGAATGGTAAAACTAGTTGGTAGACCCAAAGTTAAGAGAAATAGACAACCTGATGAAGCAAGCAACAGAAAGGGTATTTGGAGTGTTTCAAGAAAGGGCAGCATCATGTCATGTAGCAAATGTGGTGAACCAAATCACAACTCAAGGGCTTGTTACAAGGTAACACAATTACTACTTAAACTCTTCTTTTGTTACCTCTCATTTACTGATTCTAATTTTTTTCATTGGTTGGTAGGACAATAGATCTGGGCAGACTTCCCAACCATGGAAAGAAAGAAGCTGCAGTCAAAACACAAGCCAAAATGCAGTAACTGAAGATGATGAAATACAGGCAGCGACACAACAGTCAACTGGTTATGGTCCTTCAGTTGGGGATGAGGAAGACCCACCATTGAGGCCATCTGTAGTGTCTGAGAGAAACAATACTTGAATTGAGGAAAAGACAGCAAGTTCGAACTGTTACGAGAAGAATCCAGTTTACTGGAGATGAAACGGGTGCTAGCATCCCAACCAACCTGCCTTTTGAACCAAGAAAGGGCTTTTGGAAGGGAAAGGAAGCAATGTTACCAAGCCAATTACAACAAGCAGTAGGAAAAAAGAGAGCAAAGTTGACTGCAGGAAAAGGGAAAGCAGCTACGCGAGAATGAATTGTGATTTAAGTTGTAATGTTCTTTTTGGAAGTATGACAATGTTAGTCTTTTGTTCAAAGTTGTTGGGTTAAACAATTAGTTTTTGTGGTTGGGTAATCACCTGAATGTTATGGTGGTTTTGACAATATTTTTTGTGGTTAGTTAAAGTCTTAACTAACTTTTGATGGTTAGTTAAGGTACTAACCAGTAGGAATATTGGTTATGAATGCTAGTAAATGCAGTTTATGAATGTCATTAGTTATGTAGTTTATGAATATCCTAAGAAGTGCAGATTATTGTGAATGTGAAGTGCAGAGTTTTGTCAATGTGAAAGTCATATGTTAGAGCTACTTGAGATGAGAAAATAGAATAGCAAATAGCTTAATGGTTCACCTCTGTGCTTGGTGAACCTGTATCTTTATATTCTAGCTGGTGTTGTAGTAATTAGCTCTACTATAAATATACTGCTTGCTAGAAGACAAGTTTATCCACTTCCTTGGACAAGATAGGGTCAAAAATATTTACCAATTTAATTAAATGTGCATATCAGTTAAACGTGCAGTTTTTTGTTTCTGTTGCAAAGGTGTAGTTTCTTTTATGCATATCTTTATGCTACTTGTTTATTGGTTAGCAAAATAAAATCCAATAATACAATCTTAAAGTACCAATTTCAAGAAAATGGTATTTTATTCCCAACAATACAAGGAAATCTTAATTTTAACATAAACTTATTACAATAAAAATCACCCTTGAGGATTATATAAGCTGCAAAGAAAATTACGTAAACTCGAACACTCGCTCATCCATTTTTCTTTGGTTTTGAAATTGAACCGAAAACTAAAACCTAAAACTAATTCTAAACTTGAATTTGGAAAGTAACTGTAATTGATGTGGGGGGTTTTAATTTGGACACATGTCACAATTCTATGCTAATAAGGCTAATTAAATCCAAATTACGTACTAATTTTTAAGTGAGAGCCGTTAGCCAATAAGGGCATTTTTAAGCCTTTTCATTAACGGAAAGGGCATAAACGTCCCCAACTTTAAATGGAGGGAAAATGTGTTCCATAACACATAGTTCAGGGGCAGTTTTGATACTTTTCCGAAAAATAATAAATATCAGGACGGTACACTTAATTAATTAAAAACAAAAAAACGCTATTATATTTTTATTTTCCCCCTCAAACTTACCGGAGAAACTAGCAACAGAAGCCATTTCTGTAAGGTGGATATTGTATGAAAAATATCTAAAAATTGTAATGATACATCATTTATTTACAAAAGAAAATATAACTAACCATGTAAGAGTCTCAAGTCTCAAACAAAAAAAATAAATATTATCAGCCAAAATACATCCAGTAAGTCATGTCATTCAACTTGAGATATTAACTTGTTGTAATTTTGCATATAACCAGAAATTAAAGTTACCTCTTTGGTTTGGCTGTTTCTTCTTTCGTCCTCTTGCTTTCCCTAGATGATGAGAGAGTCTGCAGATTTATAAGAGGAATGAGATTAAACAGTGTGGTGTTAGCAACAATATATATTGCTAGAATTAATGAAAGCACAAAATTATTTTGAAAGAAAGGACTAACTTAGAGGAAAAGAAAAGGAAAGAAAAGAAATGGGACCGGCCTTAAGACAAAATAGAGTCACTAAATCAAAAAGCTTTGCTTTGTTAACGTTGTTCTCTAACTGTGTTAAGTGAAAAATGCTTTGTCGTTTATAGAGTGAACAGAAGAATGGATTTTAAAAGATGTTATGATTTGGTCGTAGCAGTGGTCGACAATCATCACTTTTTTAAAGACATGTTAAGGTTTGGTCAAAAGGTGAGTATATTTTAATAGGTGAAAGGAAAATGCCAGGATGTTGCCCAGCGATCATTGGTCGATACGGTACGATATTTAGTTATTTTAGTTTGGTATTTTTGATATTCGATTTCTTAAAATGCTATATCAATACCATACCTAATTACATTCGGTATGATTCGACTTTTCTCCTTCTGGTTTCGGTTTATTCGGTTCGATAATTTTGATTTATTCGACTTGCATATTAACTAGTGCATAGCGTCATAAACTGTAATATTCTTAATTAAAGCACTCGATAAAAACGTTTTAAACTCACTTGACTGTTGACAAAATCTTTATCCAAAACCTTCAAGTATCAACTAAGAGAAAAAAAGTACATAAAGGAATACATTTAATCATGAAAATATCATGTTACTTGCTTAGAGTTAATTATTGAAATTAGAGAATACAACAAGGATTAATTCAACATATGCAGCAATAATACAAGAGTAACGGAGTAAGAAACACCCCAAAATCGTTGAAATATTATAGTATTAAACTGCTTGGCAACCTAGAGAATAAGAATTAGAATCCGCAACCTATTTTGTTCCTCTATTTTTCTAAAGAAGTACATGAGCTTTACTGCCAACCTCAACATGAATGCCAAAGAAAAGTATTGTGTAACTTAGTATGTTAATCAATAATATATCTAATGTTAATTTTGTATATATTTCGGTACAATATCGGTATTTCGGTATTATTCTTTATATATCAAATATTATACCTAATACCAAATTATTTTAAGAACTTAAACCAAATATCATACCAACTACCAAAATACCGAATACCATATACCAAAATTTTCTATTTCGGTACGATAATTCGATATTTACCATATTATGCACAACCCTAGATGAAAGGGATGACGAAGATACATTATAGTTTTGGCCAAATACATAAAGCGGTCCTTAAATTTTGTCCCTCTGCTAATGTTAATTGTGTGAGACACGTTATAAAACTTTTCGAGCAAGAATTATCAATGTTGATACTAATATGGTCCAAATAATGACTGCAAGGAAGTTTGTTGTGATAACATTGCCGTAGTAAGTATTTCATCTCATTGGGGCAATTAATTTTCCAAATCCATTTGAAGTCTATCAGGGCATTCTATAGTAACACCAAAATTCAAATAGTATAAGATCATTTGAAGAAGGAGTATCACCAAATAGGAACTACAGGAACATAATATAATATAATATAATATTTATATTTTTTTAAAAAAGTTTTTTATCACTTGAAATAATATACACGCACATCATGCGTATCATAAGACTATTACTTTACATAATAACCGAGACATCATAATACGAGTCTCATGAAATATTTTTAAAAAATCAAAAATTAACCTAATTATACTGTGATACCAAAGAAAACCGATAAAATTACCAAAAATATAGTGTGACATGAATTTCTTAAAATAGTTGTTGGATTTGCTCTAGTGATTCTAAGTTCACTAATATTCAATTCTCCCCTAGATTCTTGCCATCTGTCTAGTAGAAAACTAATGACTTTGATTCACTTTGGGTACTAAAAAGAATTAAAGACAAATTTTTCTTTAAACAAATTATTAACTCCAGTTGTTTTCCTGAGCCGATGGTCTATTGGAAATAGTCTATCTATCCTCACAAGGTAGGGGTAAGGTCTGCGTACACACTACCCTCCCCAGACCCCACGGTATGGGATAATACTGGGTATGTTGTTGTTGGTGGTGTATTAACTCTAGTTAAGTTGACTGCAATGATGCAATAATTAACTAGAGTTGATTATTCATAGTACGGAAAAGGGTCAAAACTATCCCTATTATTTGATAAATGGATTACATTTACCCTCCGTCCATCTATCAGTCCAAATATACATATTACATCCATCTATCAGTCTAAGAATACATGCTACATTATTTTTATTAATAAAAATACCCTTACGTTTAACCGCAGATCAGGTGGGCCTTCAAATTAATGCGTTGGCATTTTTTTTACTAGGCCACGTGGCACTCTTGTCCAAAAATTATAGAGCAAACTTCATTTATGGTCATCCGCTAGAAACTAATATCAGCCGCTAGCCACAAATTGCAATATGTATTTTATAGCCCAAAATCAATTATAACGGCTAGCCAATTAAGTAGCTAGTCCATTTAATATCAATTATGACCCAACCACCAGCACAATTCCAAGCCCAAACGATCAAAGACCAAACCTGCAATCCCAAATATCTCACCCTAGAGACAAATATCAGATTTTTAATCTCCTTCTCTTCCAACCACCCCCTTATCAACCCTTTCCTCTTCTATGCTAAAGTTCAGCTTGCTTTTGACTATGGCAGAAGCTTGCCCCCTCTAATTTTGAGTAAGTCTTTTGTCTCTCTCAATTTTTCCTTCAAAACCCATGACTTTTTCTTCTCTCTCACATCTGCAACGAGATTTGGTCAACATAATAAGCCAAATAATTCTGATATTTTCTGAAGCAGATCACGTGAAGCCCTCTCTCTAATCTTTTTCTAGAGATATGCCTATACAAACGGTCAATTTCTGTGCTGCATTTTAAAACGACTCTTTGATCGTTTGGAATTTGAAATCCCGCTCTATCTATAAATACCAAAGTTTAGGAGTTTTGGGGAGCGATTTTTACCGTCATAGAAGCTCATTGCTTCTTTCCTGATCATTGCCATTTCCTCTTTGTAATATATTTCAGAGGGTTGGCTCCCATTTGGCCCCCAAGTATCAATTACTCTCTCTATCCTCTGTTGCAACTGGTGCATATTAAACATGAATATTTTATCAGTATCTTTTTTGGACCAACTTTTTCATAAAAAAATTGTATATGAGGCTAATATTTAAAAGTCATTTTAGATTATGTATTAGATTGGAGAGCATTTCTTTTGAATATTGGTATATTGCAATATATATATATATATATATATATATATATATATGTACAAAATAGACTGTCATTATACAAAAGTTATACAAAATAGACTGTCACTATACAAAAATATATTAAATAGACTGTCACTATACAATTTATATACAATAGACTGTCACTATACAAAATATATACAAAATAGACTGTCATTATACAAACTATATCTAATAAATAGACTGTCACTATATAAAAAATATACAAAATAAACTGTCACTATACAACAAATATACAAAATAGACTGTTACTATACAAAAAATATACAAAATAGATATTTCGGACTATTAGATGTAATATGTTTGGGCCGAAGGATAATTTTGTGTCTATGGGCAAAAATATGAGCTATTAAAATTTTGAGAGGATATAGAGAGTAGTTTTCTCAAAATTAAATTCCGGTTTAATTTTGACCTGTTAACTGGATCCTACCCTAGTTATTAAAAAATACTTAGCATTTTCTTCCCTTACCATCTTTTAACCCCTTTTCAGTCATAAAATATTTCCGGCGACCACTGGTAAGAGTTTTTTCTTTTGTGATTTTACATAAATATCTATGTCCATCAATGCAATAAACTTTTTAGGCAATAGGCACTCTATGTTGCCCATATTAAATGATGATACAGAAAATCCAGCTCGTAGTTAGAGGAATCAGCAAATGAGAGTTAGAGGCAAAATTCAAAAAATTAGTTAGTTAGTTAATACCATGCCAGCAGAAGTTAGTGGGAGTTAGTTACAAGTTAGTTGGATTTAGTTACCAGTTAGTTGGGAGAACAAATTCTGTTAGATTAGTTGTATTCATTTTCAATCCATATAAATACATTGTAATATTTAGAAATGAATAAGATTTGCATTACAAGTTTCCTAAATACTCTCGTCTCTCTTAATTCTCTCGAATCCTATTCTTCTCTTTTCCGTCATTGCTGAAATTCTCGAGCTTCTTCGCCAACTTCCTGAATCATCAACTTAATCCTCGAGTTCTTTATTGAATTCCTACAATTAATCTATCAGTGGTATCAGAGCACTCCTTCCTTGGCAACAATGACGAAAGGAACAGCAAGAGTAACTGACAATTCACTATCAGAAGTAGGTGAATTGCGTGAATTGATGCAAAAGATGATTTCTGAGATTGGGTCTTTAGCAGGGGAGGTTTCTAATCTTAAAAGGTTAGATCAAACTATACTTGAGTTGCAAGAGCAAGTGACAACTGCTACTGGCCAACGAAGGGATAAAACTCCATTAGAACATGAAGGAAAGCCATTTGATGGAAGTCCTCAGAGAGAAAGGAACGCTGGTCATCATAATGGTCACAATTCCAATTTTTCACGATGGTCTATGATGGAATATCTGAGGTTTGCTGGGGAAGATTTGAGATCTTGGTTGTACAAGATCGAACAGTTCTTTTCCATGGAGAAGGTAGCTGCTGAAGAGAAGGTGGAGGTGGCAGCAATGCAGTTAGAGGGTGAAGCCATCCAATGGCACTTGTCGTTCATGAGGTACAGATAATATCTTCATCCTGCTATGTGGAATGAATATGTTATGGCCATGGTGAAGAGGTTTGGTACTGATTTTGATGATCCGATGGAAGAAATCAAAAAGATCAAGCAAACCAAAAGTGTCAAGGAATACCAAGCCATATTTGAAAAGAATCTCACTAGAGTGAACTTGTCACAAGAAAATGCGATTAGTTGCTTTATAGGTGGGCTGAAACATGAGTTAAACATAGCAATAAAGTTAACAAATCCCACCACTTTGTCTCAAGCTTACAAGACTGTCACGCTACAAGAAGCTTATCTTGCTGCTATCAGATATCCTGCTATGGATCAAGGGGGCAAGCAGTTAGGTGCTAAGAGGTATGG